CTAAATAAAGAAAATAATTTCATATACTAATTAGACCATCTAAGACATTTTGGAAAATAATTTTATAAATATTAGAGAACCATCCAAAATGTTTAAAATAATTTCATATACTAAAATGAAAATCAGAATAAATTTTTTTTATACTTTTGACTAAATTACCCCTTATAGTTTTTTCTCAAATTCTTTGGGTCATAAATTTTGTTTATTTTGAAATTTTCCCAAATTACACCTTATTCTCAAATTCTTTGGGTCTGCTGAGGATGAAGCTGCGCACCCACAATAAACTGCCCAGACATCTCCTTCTTTGATCGTAAAAATATGTAATTTGTTTTTTAAGTTTCTATTTGAATAGAGGCGGAAGTCTCAAAACATGCATCTTCTATATATAAGCATGGAACTCAGGTAGAGAAACTGTAACATCGATAGAGCCCTACATGCTGCCCTAAAAAAAAAAAAAAGAAATACCAACTCTGCCAACAATACAGCACTCCCATACACAGCTTGGTTGAAATCACACGCTTCCTATCAAGTAGCAGGTCATGTGGATACGCAAATAGTCAATAGGTCACTAACCTACAATATGGCCATCCACTCACGCAAAAAAAAAAAAAAAAAAAAACTAAACGCTGCCGTTTTTTAAGGGCGAGAAAATGGAATCATTTGATTGGCTGAAAATTAGTGACTTTTATATGTATATAGATATATATAGATAGATTTGTATTACTTATGAGTATTTTGTTAAAACAAAAAACTTATGTTATTGTTTTATTGAATATTATTAAATGTTCTTTAAAAAATGTATGTTAGTTATATGAATATTTTATTTGGTAGTAACTTATTACATATTATGATTTTTTTTTACAATACTATAGTTGATATAGAATAATATTGTTTTAATTTTTTTATGTAATAATAATAATCATCATAACATTATTATTATTATTATTATTTTATTTATTATTATTTTATTATTATTATTGAGCCTTTTTATTCGTTTGTGACATGATGGGATATGGAACACAACATGGGATGCTATGTAAAACCCTTTATTTCTTGTTACTTTTTTTTGGGTGGACAGACTTTTTTTTTTTGGTGGTATTCGGTGATTGATATGACTATGTAAAAGGAATGTGCAAAAGGAACATCAAGAATGAAGGTCCTTTCCGACTTGTTAAGCGAGATTAATCCTACCCATTAACAAATACGCAAGTGGTACGCCTACCATATTTTCCGCACCGCGGTGCATAATCGGCGTTGTTTCTATAGTATAATGGAGTAACACTATAGTGTGTCTAAACTAACACTGTCTCACGTATTATTTTTATATTATCAAATGAAATTGTAGTTATATCAAAATGATAATATAATTGTGGTGAAATGAAACTACAATATATGTAAAATGAAACTGAATAACATCTCACATATTTGAGTGTATTGTACAATGAAGCTGTAATTATATTGAAATGATCATGCAGTTGTGTTTTAATGAAACTATAGTGTATCAAGTCTTGATTTTATTGTTTTTTTTTTAATGCTACTGACTCTATTACATTGTAGTATCTGTTCATACATACTTTCTCAACTTAATTAAGCACACAGAGTCAACAACGCCTCCACTGAGACTCGATCTCATGACCTCCCACATTAGAGAGATCACTACATGAGTCTTGATTTCATTGTTTGGTTGTGAATATTTAATGTTTTTTTTTCACGCATTTGGGGAGGAAAATTAACAATATAAATTCCTATATGTTTTTCTTTCTTTCTTTCTTTCTTTTTTTTTTTTTTTTTTTTTTTTTTTGAAAACAAATTCCTATATGTTACTCTTTTACATCTTTATTACATCTTTATTGTGTATGGATAGGTGAGTCTTTATATTAATTATTATTCTCAATAATAAACTTTGGTTAAATCAGTTACGAGAGGCCAGAGTAGTGGGGCTAATAGATCAACAAACTGGTACATGGGATAATGAAATTTTATCAGATTTATTTCAACCTACGGATGTCGAGAGAATTATGAGAGTACCTGTATCCCGGGATTATAATGATGCATGGTATTGGTACGGGGACCCGAGAGGATTATATTCTGTGAAAAGCGGGTACAGACGATTGGTGGGAGATTATGAGAATAATCAAGGCCCCTTTACTAATTGGTTAGCTTTATGGAGACTAAAAATTCCACCAAAGTGGAAAATGTTCCTCTGGAGAGCTATTTGTGATATTTTGCCTACAACTACGAACTTGCTTTTAAAGAGGGTGGAGGTGAACCCATATTGTGCTATGTGTGGGATATCACATGAGAATACAATGCATGCATTAGTCTTGTGTGATTTTGCAAGAAACATTTGGGATCAATCCAACCTTACAATCCCCAATATTGTCACGGATATTTTTCATGTTTGGTTTGGGGAACTTCTAAATATTTTAGATTCTGATGGAATGTTATATGCAGCATCAATTCTATACAATATTTGGAAAGCTCGAAATGGTGCAGTTTGGGAGGCGTTTTTACCACGCCCGGGGTCCCTACTCAGAGCCGCAGCGGCAGCCAAGACCGCATGGACTCAGTCCCGCCCAGCCGTGGCTGCCACTGCCACTGCTACGCTGCCGACAGAAAACCGCCACGCTGCCCAGGCGAGTCCCACCGCCGGCCGCGGTGCTGCCGACGCCGCCGGATCCTCTGTGCCGCCAGTGAGAAGATGCAGGGTCGATGCAGGATATCTACACGAGACAGGGAATGCAACTGTAGGGGCCGTTTTATTAGATGGAGATGGAGCCTATATCTCGGCACTAACCGCGCCGCTACCGGCCTGTACGTCACCACTTATGGCTGAGGCTTTGGCGTGTAAGGAAGTTTTATCATGGCTAAAGGATCGAGGTGAACAGAATATTGAGATCTACACGGATTGTTTGACACTACAACGCTACCTTACATCATCAACCACTGCGTTTCGCTCTTACGTTGGCTATGCCATTGATAGCTGCAGGCAAATTGCCGTTTATTTTCACTCATGTTCTTTTAATTATATTTCTAGATCGGACAATTATTTAGCTCATGCTTTAGCCACTACGGCTTATCAGCAACCTGATACTATGTACTGGGATACTCACCCACCAGACATTATTTCAGCATTTTTCTAATGAAGCATCGCATAAAATTTTCAAAAAAAAAAAAAAAAAAAAAACTTTGGTTAAATAATTAGCCCGATTAAATACATATCATTCAATGTTGAGCATCAAAGATTATACTCCGTAAATTAGAAATTTTAAAAATCATTTGATTTTCTTGATTTTTTTTTTAAAAACAAATTTAGTTTAATTGAGTTTTTTTTTTTTTTTTAATCTTCTTTTCATTATTTAGAACGAAACTTAATATTTCAATTATGCTTTTTCATTATTTGAATTATTTAGGTCATTATGGTATTAGTATTTCTTTTTTGTATTTTTTATAATGGTACAATTGTACATTACTTTACAAATATTATACCATTATTTGTCTATCGCACAAAATTGTTCTTACATCATTGTCAGACATGCCGGCCTAACTACAAAGTTGTTGATCATAAATACAATTATACATTGACTCTAAAACGGTAGGACCATTTTCCAAATAATTGACAATGTTAACATCATACTAGCTCCAATTGAACAAGTTTACACATAAGAACTTGATCAATGCATGAAAACTTCTAAATAAATTTGTAAGTTAATTTTTACTATATCATTATAACAATATCAATTGTAATCATATATTTTGAATTATTTATTATCATCCTCTATTGACAACAATTGCAACAATTGTAGCAATTGTCATTGACAAACTCTCAAAAAAAATTATCTCAACAAGGAATGAAAATTAAAAAAAAAACATTGATTTCATTATTGTTAATGAAAAGCATGTATGACACTTTATTACTCTTATTAACTTAAATAAATTAGTAGCTACAACAAAAAATAATACATATGCATTTAATTAATTTAGAATTAGATGTCTATAATGCTTTATTTAAAAATAAATGATTCATTATAAAAAAAAATTAAAAGAAATATAATTTCATTAGTTATATTATCTTGGTTTATACAATTCAAAGATTTCTTAGCTTCAAATTTATTATTCACTACATTGTCCATTGTCTTCTTTTTACGTTATCTTGTAATTAAATATCAAAGTTATAATACAAAACATGTTATATATATTTATTTACCAAGTATTTTATACAAATATAATACATATTAATATTTTGTTCAATACTTAGCTTTCACATGATAACCTACGACACACATTTCACAATACACGAAACATGTAGGGAAAAACTGTCACTACTAAATATCAATAGGTGTTTGTAAGCTAAAGAGTTCATATTACAACTAAAATCCCAGTCATATACACAACAAGACAACTCTAAAGCTTCCTACACCATAATCTCATCATTACATGATGAATCCCTCTATGCTGCCACCAGTAACCTAATTGCAAATGTCACACTACCAATAAAAAGAAAAAAAAAGAAAAAGAAAAAAGAGGACATGTACTGAAGATGAAAACAATGACAATGCTACCCAAAAGAGAATTAAGAAAAATTAGAGAAATTTAAATCAAAAGTAGTATTTATTTAGACTATCGCTTCAAGGCTAAGTATTTAGACTAACGTTATTATAAAATTGCAAACATTTATTGTAGTGACAATTATAATCAATATATCATATATTGTCTTGAATTTATATACTTTAAATTACCGATTTAAATAAATAAAATAAACATTTATTTACGTATGCATAAACATCTCCTATATAATATTACATTGATATACTTTGAAATACTTATTTAAAAATAATCATTGGGCATTATTCCACGCGCAAAGCGCGTAAAAAAAAAAACTAGTTTTAATAATAAGATTTCAAGGTACGAATTTTTATTTTTATAATTTAAATAATAAAAAAAAACACATGGTAACGAAGGGCTTATAAAGGGCATAATTGGAATGTGAAGAGTACGCAAAAAGCTTGTCAGCAGGCTGCGGCGTGCGGCTCAGCGCGGTGGTTCTTCATGCTTTTGCCGCGTACGCAATCGCACCTCATCGACAAAAAACTACTCTCCACTCCTCAACTTTCTCTCTCTACTCCCCCCAAAGCCGCTCTCTTCTGCCTTTCTCGCTGTTCAGCACAACCAGTTCTTACCAGGTACTAAAACCCCCGATCTTTCGGATTCGATTTATTTCTTGAATCCCGGGTGTAATTTCACGAGAATTTCCTGCTTTTTGACGTCTCTTGCGCGTGCTTTAACTTGTTTGTTCTATATTCTCTTACTATTTGTGGATTTTTGTAGTGAAGTTGCAGTTTGATTTGAAATTAGGGTTCTGTAACTTGATTCAAAAAGCTTTTACAAAAAAAAGGGTGCAACTTTGTGCTAAAAATCGGTTTTTTTTTTTTGCTGGGAATTAAGTGTTTGTTTGAATTCGAGTGTTGCGAGGAATTCGTGATCTTTGATATGATCACAAGGGTGTGAATTTTTGTATGATAGTATATTGTTTTGCAGGTTAAGACTGAAGGTAAAGGCTATAAGTTTAAGGATGGGAAAGGGTTCGAAGAGCGGCGTGGGCAAGTCTGCATCTTACCAGGTCTTCAAGGACAGGGCTAAGAATCGGGTGGATGATCTGCAAGGGATGTTCACTGATCTGCAGTCCTTGAGGAAAGAGAGCCGTACTTCTGAAGTGGCAGTGCTTGAGGAGCAGCTTAACCAGGTGCTTCGGGAGTGGAAGGCTGAGCTCAATGAGCCCTCCCCTGCTTCTTCTTTGCAGGTAATTTGCCCATTTATGTCCAGTGCTCATAAGCTTATTCACTGAATGCAAGTCCACTCTTTGAACCTCTGTTTGGTCGTGTTTGTGGTTGCAAATTATGATTTAAGTGCCTTTGTTGTTATAAATGTAAAATTTCGGATGTGGACTTTGACCTTTATGGATGGCATTGCAGGGAGGGAGTTTGGGATTTAACACATCAGACCTTTGTAGATTGGTGCAGCTTGGTGAGGAGGAAGATGACGCCACCAGTGCATTAGCTGCCCTAAAGTCTGAACCTGATGCGCAAAAAGTTAGTGGTGCTGCTGGTTATCAAGAGGTACACATCTTTTGATAGTAATTTTGTTTTCTGCTACGAATTGATACATTCTTCAGAATGATACTTCTGGATATGATTTGTGTGTGGAGAATTTACGATCGTGTGTGGAGAATTTAATTGTACACATCTTTTAATTTTTTTTTATTGGAATTATGACATGTGCAAGCTGTGAGGAAAGTTTAATGCTAGATTCCTGCAGTGGGGGAAGGGGTGAAAGGTGGGGTGGGGGCGGACTTATTGATGAAGAGCTTTATTTGCTGCAATAGATTTTGGGAGAGGGCTCCATATTTGGAATGGCTCCACCTTATCTGTGCAGTCATTTTATTTATTTATTTATTTGTTGTCTTTGTGATTCTTCATCATTTGTTGTTTCACTCCTTTTTCTTTGCCTGCTACCTAATCATCTTCACCTTTTCTTCTGGTTCCTGTCATCTTCTTTAGACACTCTCAATTCCTTTATTTTTTGAAGGTTTTTCTTTGCATATTAAGGATTTGGCATTTAGGGTTCTTACAATCTCTATATTTCTGTTTGGTTTCTCGTTGTTGAATATTTATTCTTGGGTTGTTGTTTGCCCATAGGGTCTGAATGTAGCTCAGGTGCTGCAGGAGCAAAATCTTCAGGAGCAAAATCAGTTGGTTGACCAATCCAAAAATGCTCCTTTAGGGGTTAACAATGTGGGCATTAGTAATGTAGGTCCTGCACAGTTGGGGGATTATCAGTCATATGATTTTCATCAAGATTTTGAGCAGCAGTATTTCCCTGGGTTTGATTGTGTGAATCTTTGCCTCGAAGATGTTTTGCCTGCAATTCATATTAATCCTCCACCTTCTGCATTCTTGGGCCCAAAATGTGCACTTTGGGATTGCCCGAGACCTGCAATGGGGTCAGACTGGTGTCAAAAGTCTCAAGACTACTGCAGTGACTATCATGCTTCCCTTGCTCCAAATGAAGGCTACATTGGACATCCCCCGATTCTAAGACCAATGGGTATTGGCTTAAAGGATAATCTGCTTTTCCAAGCGCTCAGTGCAAAAGCACAGGGAAAGGATGTCGGTGTTCCAGAGTGTGAGGGTGCAGCAACTGCAAAATCCCCATGGAATGCGCCTGGTTAGTTTCTACCGGTTTGACACACTTGCATTTCTCATAATGATGTTTCCATGATCATCCTATCCTTTCCTTTTTATTGATGGAATCATATAACCAATTATGTTGTGATTTTGCAGAGCTTTTTGATCTTAAAGTTGTCGAAGGTGAAACAATTAGGGAGTGGCTTTTCTTTGACAAGCCTCGAAGAGCGTTTGAGAGTGGAAATAGAAAGCAGAGGTCATTGCCTGATTATAATGGGCGGGGGTGGCACGAGTCAAGGAAGCAGGTGATGAAAGAGTTTGGAGGACTAAAGAGATCTTATTATATGGATCCACAACCAATGAAGAACTTGGAGTGGCATCTCTATGAATACGAGATCAACAACTATGACACGTGCGCTTTGTATAGATTGGAACTGAAGCTCGTGGATGGCAAGAAGAGCCCAAAAGGAAAAGTAAACAATCCATCTGTTGCTGATTTGCAGAAGCAAATGGGAAGACTTAACGCTGAATTCCCTCCCGACACCAAGCGCACCGTGAAGGGTAGGGCAAAGGCGAACGCCAAGGGTAACACTGGAAATATTCCATCTGCTCCAAATCCTACTGTTCCAAATTCTGAAGGGCTTTGTTATACTACTGCACCACCACCTTACGATTATGTTATCAATGATCTGAGTGGCTACTACATAACGTAGTAGGATGAATTTGGAACACTACTGTTTTCTTCTCTTCTTATTTTTTATTTATTTGGTTTGTCAGTCACATTTTTCACTCCAGTCTCACATCTCAGTTAAGAAGCTGGGTTAATGTCTGAGAATTGCTAACTCCTATTGCCATGAATGTACAGAGCTACTATTAGAAATACTCCTACTAAAATGGCTCTAATCATCTTGTAGTGATGATTTTTGCTGATTAATATTGGATCTGTTAATGGTTCTTGTGCTTGTATCTTTATAGAAATCTGGATACAGTTTTCAGTGGTTACAGCATCATTACAAATTTGCCATTTTTTTGTTTTGATATATTAAGTTTCTCAGCTAACACCGGACTAAAATCATAAATTCTGCATAAGAGTCATTAGAGAAGGTAAATGTGAGTCACAACATCATTACAATTTTGCCATTTTTTTTGATTATTTTAAATCTTACTTTACACTAGATTAGTCCTAAACCTTTAAAATTCTTGCTTAAGAGTCGTTTAAAGAGGTAAATCGTGGCAAATTATGTTGTGCATCTGTGTGCACACGGATGCAAAAACGACGTTGTTTTGACTAAAAACCTGCGTCCACTTAAAAAAAAAATCAGTTTCGATTTCCAGCAACAGCATTAAGTTGTTCATTCATTTTAGATTTTTAGTTCATTCATTCTGGATGTTTAGTTATGAAATTATGGATGTGTAGTTATGCAATTCTAGATTTATAGTTATAAAGTTATGGATGTGTAGTTATGCAATTCATAATTTCTAGTTATGAAGTTATGAATGTGTAATTATGCATTGTGTAGTTATGCAATTCTGGATTTATAGTTATGAAGTTATGAATGTATAGTTATGCAATTTTGGATGTATAGTTATAAAGTTATAGATGTGTAGTTATGCATGTAATTCTGGATTTATAATTATGAAGTTATGGATGTATACTTATGCAATTCTGGATGTATAGTTATAGAGTTATGAATGTGTAGTCATGCAATTCTGGATGTATAGTTATGAAGTTATGATTTTTTATTTTTTTTTAAATCCACGTCAAAACGACGTCGTTTTTGCATCCGTGTGCACCATTCATGGTGCACAGCATAACGCTCCGTAAATCGCAACTCACAACATCTTTACAATTTTGCCATTTCATAATTACAGTGAATGTATGAGCCACTTCTCTGTTGTCCAATCTTAAACCACCGTGACATAAATATGGTTATCAACAAGAAAATAGCAAAGTTCAACCCAAATGGCCTGTAAGACAACATAAAATTATCTAATAACACACAGTAACTTAGAGTACCTTGATATACAGCCTGTAAGACAAGCTAATTTATTGGAGTAAAGAAACTAGGAAACCCATTACATAGTACTGAAATGGTGAAACATGGAACTATTGAGTGACAGGGGTTTAAGCCTCGGGGCGGTTTTCAAAACATTTATGGTTGCTGCAAAGTATAAAGCCTGCACTGCATTAGACAGATTGGGCAAGGTACTAGGAACCCTCATGCATCATCATTCATCATCTTCAACATTGTTGACTCGCTCGCATTCATCAATCCATTCGCTGTATCTGCATATTATCGTATATAGGCGTGTGAGATAGAGCTTCGGGGGAGGAGCCGAGGAGCGGGGAGGAGGTAAGGGTACACTTACATATCGATAGGCTCTGTTAGAGCTGCAGATAAGCAAAAGGAAAAGGGATTAGTCAACATGGTCTTCCATTCATAGGATTCCAAAATGTACATGTTTCAACAGAATGCATTCAGTATCGACATTTCTGTAAACGCAACAAGAAACTGAAAATGCAATGCAAGCACACTATAGTGCCGTTTTCTTTAATTTTCTGAGACCCTTCTAATTACAGTTTGCATGAAAAATCTGTGTAGGGTGTAAGCAAATTTACATGTGACAGTCGTGCTAAAGCTTTCTTGGCAAATATTGCAAATTGCCTCCCCAATCGCGTTTTTCATGTCACTGAAACAACAGAGCACAATTACGTGAGTGAAACCAAGCATACAATACGCTCACGAATGAAATATCATGCAACTATTACACTCAGTTACACTTAATTAAATACTATGCAGTGATGAAGCCATTGGGGGCATAGTCAGAAAAAATTGTGCCTTTCGTGCGTCAAATAAATAATAATGTATTGCATATTTACATGCGGCACTCTACACTGGTGCCATGGCTGCAAAATGGGCAGCTAAAAACAGTGTCAAGTTTATCATTCCGCTTCTTTGGAGGCGGCTTTGAATTGGATTTCCTCTTCCCCATGCTTCAAGCTCCTATCATCCAGATCAATTTAATAAAATAAGTCATAAGAGGGAATATAAAGAAGATAATGACCAAGTCAACTTGACTAAGCAATTATTAAAATCTAGTTCCATATCTCTTCAATCCTAATGATTGTAACATGTTTGAGAGCTCCAAAGCTATCATAAACTTATAATCAATCAAAAGCATATACATTCTTTTTTAATATGCTTACTTTCCAGTGGGTCACCCATCGTATGACTGATGTAAGTCAAATACAGTGAACCACATAGTTCTTTGGTTATCTGGTTGTAATATCCTAGTTAAAACCAATTGATGATAAAGTAGGTGGACTTTAGCCATTTAACCACATCCCTCGATGGTAAGTCACAACGCTATAACGCCACGTCTCGAATCGAGTAGGAGCTGAGCTCAGCCAACCCGGCCGACGCCCAACAAGATTTGACCTTGGTTGCACCCGCAAAGTTTGACTCTTACTCGAGGAAAAGGTCTCAAATTATTTAGTTTGTAAAGACATCAAGAACACTCTAATAACCTCAGCAAGAAACAAAATGATAAGCAATACAACTCTCTACACATTCCAACACAAGTGATACAGATAAATGTAAATAAGAATCAAATTAAATTGAACTTTGGAGAACAAGAAAAGGAGGTTAGCAGATGAAGCCCTTATTTCAGAGGGCAAAAAGCTCCCTTTTCATTAAGCAAATTAAGCAGTGAGATCTCTCCAAAAACAGTAAGATAAAATTCATTAATTTATTTATAAAATTTAAAAAAAAAATGACAGATCTTGAAAAAACAACAAATATACGCCAGACCCACCAAGAGAGGGAAAACAGGAGGGTAATCAAGAACAAAAGAAATACATGAAATTGAAGACAACAGATCCCAGAATCAAGGATGAAACACAGACCAAAAATTGGGAATTCTTTGTTACGGAGTGGCAATTAATAGATTGATAAATTTACCAGAGTTTGATGGAAAGCAATCAAGATGCTAAATTGATATGCCCTAATAATACTGTAACAAAATGCAAAAAGCTAAACGTAAGGAAGATATGATCTTGAGAAATAAAACTTACGATCTTGATACCCAGAAAAAAGTAGCTTAGTCGCCCTTGACCTCTGTGAAACTGTGAAGTGAAAGATGAAAAAACACCCATCAATTTTTAACGTGAGGAAAATCAATTTTTAACTATCAGGGCTCTGTTTGGCAAACCTAGTTGAAAATCTATAAGCTAGGAGCTGAAAGTTAAAAGTTATAAGTTCGGAGCTGGAAGAGCTATTAAGCTAGCTATTACGATTGAAAATGTTTGGTAAAATTAACTTTTTGATAAGCTGATAAATGTAAAAAGATTAAAAAAGACATCATCATAAAATTTAAATTAGTTGTTTACATATTAAAATTTAACATTTTATCTTTAAAAAAATTAACATTTTAAAATAAAACTATTAGCATAATCATGATCTAGCTCTCAAAATGAAGTAGCAATATTGTTGCAAATAATAATAATAATAATAATAATAATAATAATAATAATAATAATAATAATTGCGGATAAAGGAGAAAAGAAAATAGTTTTAATTGGGAATGATAAATTATGTCATTTTTAAAAAAAATAATAAGGATAAAGATGGAAAAAAAGTTAAGAAGCTATGTGCTTATTTTGAAACGCTACCTAAAGTAGCGTTCCAAAATAAGCTATTATTTTAAGGTAGGAGCTTATTTTGGGAACATTACCAAACAGAACTTATAGCTTATTAGTAGTTTAAAATAAGTTATAAGCTCCTAAATAAGCTATGTCAAACAGAGTCTAAGTAATACAAATTTGACGTAAATGAGTTTGAGATGAATAAAATTTATGGGCGATTGAAAAAAGAAAATAAAGAGGATAAGTAATTGTAATTCTGTAGAAAATATGGAGTAATAATGTAAGAATAAAGTAAAAAAAAAATAAGTAAAAATAAAATTATTGAAAATTAAAATGAAATAAATAAATAAATATTAAAATGTCTATGTATAATAAGAATAAGAATAATAACAATAATGGGAGAAGAATAATAACAACAATAATAATAATGTTAAAATTGTCATTAGACCATAGAAATTGCAATTTCCTTTAACCAAATAATGAATTTGTAAATTTTATGAAATTTGATGGGAATGGAATTGTAACTCCATCCTATCAAATATTCATTAATTTTTTATTTTTTATTTTGTAAAGAAATATTCATTAATGTAAAAATATATTAAGAATATTTTTTTGTGTAAAATTTGATACATTAATTTAGTGTTTTGCATTAAAGATAGGATATTTTCTAACTATTTTGGACTCATTTAAAACTATTAAAAAAAATTGCACTTTTCATTTCTAAGTTAATTGTAGGACTCGTCCCTAAGTGTTGGTCATGCTCACTTTTCGTCCATAAGTTATTATTGGCGTTTCACTTTTCGTCCATGAGTTATATGGTAATTGTAGGATTCGTCCCTAAGTGTTGATCATGTTCACTTTTCGTCCATAAGTTATCATTGATGTTGCACTTTTCATCCCAGAGGTATACTAAAATTGTAAATTTCGCCCCTAATCACTACTACATAGATGGAATACTACGTCACTTAATAGACGGCGATTTTTTAAATAACCGCCGTCTAATATATTATGTGATACTACGTCACTTAATAGACAACGGTTGTTTAAATAACTGTCGTATATAACTGACATACACGGTGGTTGTTTAATCGCCATATATAGTTAACATACACGACAGTTTTCAAAATCGCTGTAGAAAGTGTATACTTACAACGGTAGTCACTTACACGCGCGACACTTTGAAAACCGTCGTGTATGTGTAAAAAAAATCGTCGGTGGTTATTTAAAATGTATGACGTAACAAATCAAGGTATACATGGCGGTTATTTAAAAAAAAAAATCGTCGTCTATTAAGTGACGTAGTATAACAAAATATATTGGACGGTGATTATTTAAAAAACCTTCGTCTATTAAGTGACGTAGTATACCATTTATGTAGTAGTGATTAGTGAGAAAATTTACAATTTTAATATAACTCAGGGATGAAAAGTGCAACGCCAATGATAACTTAGGGACGAAAAATGAACATGAACAACACTCATGAAAGAATTCTACAATTACTCTATAACTCAAGGACGAAAAGTGCAACGCCAATAATAACTTAGGGACGAAAAATGAGCATGACCAACACTCAGAGACGAATTCTAGAATTACCCTTGATACTGCTAATTATACGTAAGCAATATGAAATAAGCCGAGACCGAATAAAGCAAGTAAATGTCTTTATTGATCACGGTAAAGGCCCTAAGTACAATCTACTTGGTTGCTCTGAGTACCGACTGACTGCGGTCGGGATTCTCTAACAACAACCTATCGATCGTCCAAAAGTCCCCTACACTGTAGCTACTGTGGGTATTTATAGCCGCTATGCCGGGGACAGGATTCCAGCCGTTCGGCATGTCCTCCACGTAGCCACCACGTGTCGTCCTCCCGGGTGCCCTGTCTGTCGTCGTAGAGAATCGCCACGTGTCTTTCGTCAGCTCTCTCGCCAAAGGGCTACCGCTCGGCGGTCGACACCGTCGCTCGGGCAACTCCCGGTCGGCCCCCGACCGGGTTCTTCTCAAGGAGCCCGACCTGTTACCTGCAAAGACAAAGAGAAAAAGACAAAGGCTTCTCGGTCGTGGTGAAGCTATGTCGGTCGGGATATTCCCTACCAAGAGCCCCCCAGCCCGGGCCTTTTTTATCGTCCGGGAAAAAATGGGCCGGGATGAAGAAGCCCAACCGCCGGCCGCTAAACCGACCGGCCAGCTGTCATTCCCTTCTCCGCCACGTGTCGGCCACTGCCGGCCTCTGCGACTGCAACCGTCGCCTCGGAATCAGCGCTGGTCGTGTCACGCAAGTGGATGATTTTCCCGCCCAAACGCTCTCCTATAAATAGGTTCCTGAGGCCTTCATTTGAACTTTCCTCAATCTTCTGAAGCAATCGGTACCCTCAGAGAGTCCCGAGCAGCAGATCAGCAATCCGATCAAGCAAAGCAAAACTTCAGATCCTCTTCCAAGTTTCTTCACTCGGTAAGCTCCTAGTTCTTTACTCTTTCTTTATTCTTCACTCAGCGTAGAAGTAGGATAGCACTAACTTCGAGCTAACTTCCCGAACCCTGTACTAACTCCCGACCGACCTTTAGGTAGAATTATGTCGGACTCGGATAGTCAAAACGTTTCGGTCGCGGACTACGACAATACGCTCGAGCAAAGCAGCGAGGAGGTGGACATCATGTCCTATTCTCCAGAGGTCGGGCAACGACCGCCGCCAGCGCCCGAGCGAGCCCCCGAGCCAGAAGAATCCACCAGCTCGTCGGAGACGTCGGGGTCGAGCTCCAGCAGGTCGGGGAACGAAGAAACGTCTACGAGCGGACGGAATTCCCCGGCCGAGGACGTCCGAGGAACGCCGCTGAGGGTAATAGGGGATTACCCTCAGGTCGAGCCTGAAGAAGAACATCAGGCTAACGAAGCAGAGGCCGTTGAAGGAAGTCCGGCCGAGCCGGCCGCGCCACGCGGGGACGGGTACGAGTTCCTCAACAGCGAAAGCGTGGAAGGCCATAAGAGCTTGCTGACCAACGGGGAGGCAAGCAGGATTGCGGCGGTTCTCGCTGGTCGGGTCGAGTTCGACACCAGCAGGCAGCTCGGGAATATCATCGAGCGGCACCAGGGGAAATGGATCGGGCTGCATTACGACTCGCTAATGGCCCCGATCACATTCCCCTTTTCGAGCCTTCTCACCGCGTTCCTAGGGTACTACCAGGTTATGCCCGGGCAGATTTGCCCGAACGCGCATCGAATGATCGCGTGCTTCCTCCAGATCTGCCGACGACACGACGTGGCCTGCACCATGGAGCTCTTCAACTTTGTCTATCAAGTGAAGGTGCTAGCGGCCGCGTACGGAGGGGGTTTCTTGATGACATAGTCCCGAGCCGATAGGTGCTCGATCGAGGGACTGCCCGGGAACAACCGGGGGTGGAAGGACCGGATCTTCTCTGTGAAGTATGATCCGTGGATCCTCCCGGTCGAGAGGGTTTGGAGCCAGCGCTTTCGGAAGCAAGTCATCCCAGTCGAGACGCCGACCCTCATCGACGCCGTGGCCAAGATCTCGGGCGAGATCTACGAATACCATATCTTCAAGTCGCCCGAGAGCTACGAAGCGGCCCGGCTGCCCGATCCGGTCTATGACCAGCCCGAGTAGTATAAACCCGAGCCGGCGGGTGTGACGATTGAGCGGATGCCCGCCCGGGGCAAGAGGAAAGGTAGAGGCCCTATGGCCATCCCGACCCCGGACCCTTCACACCCGATTACTTCTATTCTTGATCTAACCAACTTCGTTTTACTTGCAGCAATGGCCGGTTTCGGAGATGAGGATGTCCCCATGCGCCCGGTGGCCAAGATTTCGCTTGGCAAGAAGAAGGGCCAAGCCAAGCCGGCCGGGGAGAAGGAGATCCCAGTTGTCCGACCCATTGGGGCGTCGACCATCACCACGACCGAAGGCTTCGTGGTGGACGCCTCAGAGGTCTTAGTTTCCCGAGTGGCGGTCGGGAAGGGGAAGGAGAAGGTGGCAGAGAAGACCACTGCAGAGACCGGGGCCTTGAAGCGGCGCCGGGAACAACACAGCCCGACCCCATCGGGCGGGGGCAGCAGAGGCGGATCGTCGATCCTTGCTCGGATCGGGAACGTCGGGTCGGCCAAGGAAGACTTTTCCAAGCTGACCCCGAGCCAGGTAGCCGAGAAGATCGGCTACGACCTGGCTGAGGTAAGCGTATTTTCCTTTTTCCGAATTTTCTCGAAGTATTGCCGTTCGGCTAACATGGTTGTTTCATATGTGCAGATCTCCCGAGCGACCCAGTTTCTTCAGCAACGGGCCCTTCAGGCCAACGAAGCTGAGGGCTTGAAGAAGGTCGCCAACCAGCGGCTGCAGGAGATCCGGGAGCTGGAGGCTCAGCTGAAGAAGGCCAAGGCCGAGCGAGACCTCTCCGAGCAGGTCGCCCAACAGGCGATCGGGGAGGCGGCCGAGCTCAAGGCTCGACAAAACGATCCGGATAAGCTCGCCCAATATCTTTTCCAAGATGCCAAGTCGGGCGATCGCTTTCTCCAGTCCGTTCGGGGCACAGAGGTCGGGGAGAAGCTGATATGGACGTTCGGCCGGTGGGCGTACAAGGCCGGTCAACGTAAAATGAGGGACCAGACCAGGAAAATTATGGAGCAGGCCCTTGAAGGGGATGACCTCCAACTGGTCCTGACCACGCTCCCCGACGAAGTACCCGACCCCGGTCCAGCGCCTTTTGATCCGAAGGAGCGGACTAAGGTGAGCGGAGCCGACGCCGCTCCGGGCGGAGAAGACTTACCGAAGAAGGCCGATGCCGAGAGCTCGAAGAAGTAGGGTAGCTTTACTTCCTTTTTGTAAGTGACTTCAATCGGGAGCCCGGTCCCGAATTTGTACCGGGCACCTTTTGATGATGAATAAAATTTCTCTTTTGTTTAACTCGTGTTGTTCGTTCTTTCTTTTCGCATTTTTATCTTTAGTCGTGTAAATGCTGATCCTTAACGCTCGACCTCGCGGCCTTATGGCCCGGTCTTGCACTGCTTCGACCCACTCGACACCCGACCCTACGGCCTTACGGCCCGATCGCGCCTTCGAGACTTCGACGTCAAACTGGCCATCCGATCGGGTTTACCCGATCTCCGGGCCTTGTCGAAAATTTTTGAAAACAAGCAAGCCTCTACGGTCGGAATGTAACCGAGCGACGGGCCTACCTTGAAAACAAGCAAGCCTCTACGGTCGGAATGTAACAGAGCGACGGGCCTACCCCCTTTATCCCAGCCCCCACACGATTGTGCGCTCGAGGCACGAGTGGGTGCAGTCGTGGAAAGAAGTTGGACGGACCGGGGAATGATGCCGAGAGCTCCTGGCTTCCCCGATCGGTGGCGTGACTCAAATGTCCGCTGATGTGGAGCGCATCTGACCGGTCGATAAATTCGCCCGGTCGGTGTAGCTTGAAGATGAATTGACCTGCATGCACTGGAGGTATGAAAATTAACCGATCGGGCCGACGCATGCAAGCGATCGAGCAATCAACGATCGTATATACATTAATTCTTCCCGCTCGCAGGCGGTTATATTTACAAACAGAAATTTAATTACAAACGACGACCGTGATTTACTCGCAGGTCAAGCCCCCACCTCGTCCAGAGATTACAAAAGACAGGCTCAATGCCTAAACATAACGAGGTGCTCGGAATTCCAAGTCCCCTCGATTACCCGACCGGTTGTCGTCTCCAGTCGGTATGTTCCCGGCCGTATGATCGCACTGATGATGTACGGCCCTTCCCAGTTTTGAGCCAATTTTCCGCCTTCTAGAGGTTGACTGGCCTCCCTTCGTCGTAGAACGTAGTCTCCGACCTGAAAATAACGAGGGTTGACTCGAACGTCTTTCGAACTCTTAACACGCTTCTGGTACTCGGCCATACGCCGAGCGGCTAGCTCTCTTTTTTCTTCGACCGCATCGAGATCCACGGCCATCGCATGTTCGTTTTCCTCCGCATTGTAGGTTCTCTCTCAATCGGTCGGGATCCAAGCCTCGATCGGGAGTCGGGCTTCAGCCCCATAAACCAGGGCGAAAGGGGTCTCCAAAGTAGCTTCCCTCGGGGTCGTCCGATAAGTCCATAAGACATATGGCAACTCATCGGCCCAACTACGACCAGCCGAGTGTAACTTCTTTTTCAGACCTTCCAAAATCGTCCGGTTCGCGTTCTCCACTTGACCGTTTCCCTGAGGGTAAGCCACCGACGACCGGACGTGAGTCGTCCCGATCGTGGCCAAGAAGTTCTGGAAATATTGGCTTACGAATTGGCGGCCGTTGTCGCTGATGAGATGCACGGGCACACCAAAGCGGGAAACCACATTGCGCCAAAGGAAGCGAGCACATTGCTGAGAGGTAATCGTGGCTAAGGGCTCGGCTTCTATCCACTTGGAGAAGTAATCAATGGCGACGATCACGAACTTTCTCCGACCAGAGAGCTGAGGGAAAGGGCCCAAGATGTCTACCCCCCACCTAGCGAAAGGAATTGCGGTCGTGACCGGCTGATAAAAGGTTGCCGGTCGTCCAGGCATCCGGGCGTACAGTTGGCATGTCTCACATTCCCGAGCTAACTTTTCACAGTCTAGCTGGAGGGACGGCCAATAGTACCCGATCAGCATGATACGACGGGCCAAGGATCGGCCTCCTTGATGTGAAGAGCAAATTCCCGAGTGCAGTTCCTTCATAACTATATCGGCCTCAAAGGCGGTCAAGCAGCGCATGAGGGGGCCTCCATACGATCGCCGATATAGACGACCGTCCAAGACTTGGAACCTTGGGGCTCTCAGCTTGGCCTTCCGAGCACGCTGTGGGTCGTCTGGGAGGCGGCCGTGCTCGAGGTACTCCTTCAGATCGGTGATCCAACTGTCATCTACTGGTTGGATGGGATTGACCGGTAACCGGTGAATACTGTGCCTCGGGATCACCAAGATCCGAGCTATCTTCGACATGTGTTCCGGGGCATCTTGAGCCAATTTAGATAAAATATCTGCGTCGGCATTATCCAATCGGGGTATGTGTCGGACGGTATACCCCCGGAACTGAGCAAACTTCTCCATGGCAAGATCTCGGTAAAGCTGCAGACGCTCTCCATTGATTTCATAATCCCCGAGAACTTGCCCGACCACGAGCGCGGAATCTGTCTGAGCTCGGATGTACTCAGCCCCCAAGTCCCGAGCGCACTGTAAGCCGTTAACGAACGCTTCGTACTCGGCTTCGTTGTTGGTCGGGTGGAACTGGTACATGAGAGCAAAGTAGACCTTGAATCCTTCCGGGCTCGTGACCACCACTCCTCCTCCTGCCCCTTTCTTGCTACTTGACCCATCTGTAGCCAGCGACCACCACTCAGCCTCGGGATCCGCAACCTCAGGAGGTCGGGTATCCCGGGCGGTGCACTCGACCAAGAAATCAGCAAGAGCCTGACCTTTGATTGCTGGCCTCGGTCGGTATTCGATCGCGTACTGGGTCAGCATTAACGCCCACTTGACTAGGCGACCTGATGATGAAGCAGTTCGGAGGACTGGCCCGATCGGCTGATCGGTCAACACGCGAATTGCTCGACCTTGGAAGTAGGGAGCCAACTTCTTCGCGGCAATGTACAAGGCATAGACGACCTTCTCTAACCGGGAGTACCGGAGCTCGGGACCATGTAGCGCGTGTCTTACATAATACACCGGTCGCTGGACCCCTTCCGGATCGGTTCGGCACAGTACTGCGCTTACTGCACGATCGGAGACGGCGAGGTACACGTCTAGCTCTTCTCCGAGCTCGGGCTTTGAGAGCACGATTGGTGACATGAGATACTCCTTCAGCTCGTCAAAAGCCGCTCGGCATTCTTCGTCCCAGACGAATCCATTAACTTTTCGCAATACCTTGAAGAAAGGTAAAGCGCGCTCGGCTAGCTTGGAGAGGAATCGGCTGAGGGCTGCCAACCGACCGGTCAATTGCTGGACTTCTCGAACGGTGGAAGGCGGCTGCATGTCCAGAATCGCTTTTACTTTGGCCGGGTTGGGCTCGATTCCTCTTTTGGTCATCATATAGCCGAGGAACTTGCCGGTCTGCACCGCGAATGTGCACTTAGTCGGGTTCAGCCGCAATTGGTACTTCCTCATGATCTGGAAGCACTCCCGAAGGTCCCGAGTGTGGTCGGATCGGTCCCGACTCTTGACCAGCATGTCATCGATGTAAGCCTCCATCGTTCGGCCCAGTAGATCGGCAAAGAGCATGTTGACCATCCTCTGGTAGGTCGCTCCTGCGTTCCGGAGACCGAACGGCATCACTCGGTAACAATACAGCCCATCCGGGGTCACGAAGGCTGTCTTGCTCTCGTCTTCATGGTGCATCATGATCTGATGGTACCCCTTAAAAGCATCCATGAAGCTCATTAATTCGGCCCCGGCCATCTCGTCGACCATCTGGTGAATGCTCGGTAGAGGATACGGGTCGAGCGGACAGGCCTTGTTGAGGTCCGTGAAATCGATGCACATCCTCCATGCTGGGGGCTTAGGAACAAGAACGATATTTGCCACCCACTCGGGATAGATCACCGGACGGATGTGCTCGATCGCCGCCATCTTTTTGACTTCCTCCCTGACGAATTCGCGGCGATCGGAGGAAAGGTGTCGTGTTTTCTGCACGACCGGCTTAGCTGCGGGATCGACGGCCAATTTGTGGCAGATGACCGATCGATCGATCCCGGGCATGTCTTCAGGCCCCCACGCAAAGATATCAGCATACTCCCGGAGTATGGCCAAAACTTCCGCTCGAAGCGCGGGGGTAAGGGCTCGGCCAATCTTGATCTTCCTATCCGGGCGGTCCTCGGATAAAGGAACTTCTTCTATTTCTTCGGAAGGCTCAGGCTGCTCCTTCCGTTCCTTAGCCTCCTCTTTGGCTATGGTGTTCACCCGGGAAGATGGACCAGAGTCACGTCTATTGACCGCTCGGGTGTAACATTTCCGGGCGGATTGGACATCGCCACGGACCACGCCGACCCCATTAGGGGTGGGGAATTTCATGCACAGGTGGGGCATAGAAATTATCCCACCGATCTTCATAATGGCGGGTCGGCCCAAGATAATGTTGTGGACGCAATGGAGGTTGACCACAACAAATTCCAGCTCCGTCTTGACCGACTTTGGAGGCGCGCCGATCTCGACCGGGAGCGTTATCTTTCCCTTGGGGTAAATGAGAGCCCCGGTAAATCCTGACAGTGGTACACCAACCGGAGTCAGCTCCTTCCTGTCGAGGCCAAGCTTCTCAAACACGTCCGAGTATAGGACGTTCACACTGCTGCCCGTGTCAACCATAACCCTTTGGATGTCCGTCCCCTTAACGTCAATCGTGACCACGAGCGCCTCCATGCCGTGGTCGCTGCTGGTAGGTTGGTCCTCGAGGGTGAAGGTTATGGGCTCCATCTTCTGCCTCTTCCCGGTCTCCCGGGAATCCACTATTGCGACCGGGCAATTAGTCCGCGGTCGGGAAGCATCTTCCAGCCCACCAAAAATGACGTGGATGGTAGGCTTTCCGGACGGGCGGCTACCGGACGGAGGGTCAGGGTCCCGTCGGTCATCATGACGATCGTCCCTTCGGTCGTCTCTTCGGTCCTGACCTGACCGATCGGAGCGGTGATGAGAACGCCTATGATCTCTCCGATCGGCATTCTTCTTGCTGTCCTCTCTCTTCCCCACACACTTGTCCAATTTTCCCAGGTTGAGCAGATCTTCCAACAATTGGCGCAAGTGGGTACACTCCTCGGTATCATGCCCGGCGCATCGATGGTAAGCATAATGCTTACTCTTGTCAG